GGGGGGGGGGGGGGGGGGAGAGAGTAAAAAAGGTCTCGTATGATGGATGCCCCTACGTGTGCAATGGTCATCTCACTCTGTTACATAACAGATGGATCGGCTGAAATTAATTTAAAAAACAAAAAACTGGTCATAAAATTTTCATACCAGCATCTTATATTATATGTGTAAGGGTGACAGGAACAAACTGAGATTAACATGTCAAAAGATGAGTTTCTATAATTGGTTCTTCTAATAAATACAAGTGTAGCTCTCATTAAGCTTTGTCTAAGGTACGTCTTGCTTTTCCTAGTCTTGAATCCAACCTCTTTGTTCTCCAACTCCACCACATTCCAGTAATTCAGCTTCAAGCCTCCTTTGTCTGTTTACCCTCGCAATAAAATCTTCAACTCTTCGGTTTAGCTCCTCAGTAGGCAAACCAAGCTCCTCCTCTTCGTCCCTTTCTTTCTCCTCTATATCATCATTATCACCATTGTCGTCACCTTCATCATTGTCCATTGTTTTTTCTGCTTCTTTGTGTTTCTCTTCTTCTTGATGCTTATTTTCTTCAGGACTATTCTCACTCCCCTGATCAATCTGAGTCATTTCAGTTTTTCCTTCCTTTTTCTCGTCTTGGAGGTCAAATTGGTTCCATCGTCTCCTAAGACTTTGGCATTTCTCAACATACTCGTTGTAAATCATAGTGGTCGGAGATGAGTGTGAGCCTGCAAGCTTTGATTCACCAACAAGGATGACAATGATGACGTTGCTTATGATGAAAAAGCACTTTGGGTTGAAGAAGGAAGATCTTAAGTTCGGGAGGGAGACAGAAAGAAATTGCTTCATGAAGGGAAACCAAAAAGGATATGAGAGAAACAAACAAGTAATCAAAGTTGAGAGGGAGTAAACAATGAGATTGTTAAAAAACTGAACCTTCCTGTAGTTTTTCATGGCTTGAAGCTTATCTACCTTAATTGGATCCATTGGTTAAAAATAAGGGAGTTTCTTGTGATTGAATGGAATGGGTTAGGACATAGGAGGGAGGTATATGAGGAGAGGCTAAGGCTTCTATGGGACTTGGTAAACAAAGCTTATAAGTCTAGATTCCCACCTGACTGAAATTGAGCAAGTGCAAACATGGGCATATATAGTGGTGGGAAAGGTAAGATATTTATAAGTTGGATTCAACTCATGCTGCTTTAGAATAACTTATGTTTTTATTTTGAGGATTACCTTTTGGAAAAAGCATGGCAGGCTGGGGAAAGAATGCAATTATTTTGGTGCTTTTGTACTAGCCTACTATTACTTTCAGCCATGTCTGTGCATGGTTTTGAATTGTAAATTAAATTTCCTCACAAACATGGGATGAAATGAACAGGCCATCAAAGCATCATCCATACTTGTGAGTTATGACATACATAAGTGAATAATTCTACTAAGCAAGATAAAAGGCTATCTAATTGAAGAAAATAATATGGCGACGATAAAGAAATAATTGTTGTGTATATATTTATATAGCTAATGAAGGAGAAAAGTTGCATTTGTTTATAGTTGAGAAAATGCTTATTTATTTCACGTCCATATATACTAGTATTTCCAAAAAAAAAAAAAGGGTTATTAATTTAACAATAATTAATTTTTGTACTAAGTTATGTAGTTTTCAGGGTTCATAAATATAATTAAAATCCTTGTCAACATAAGATTGATTCATCTGCTTTCATCACCATTGCCAATTCTTCGTCTTTTGGAATTTTATTGAAAGAGGAGTAGTGAAGCACGGCAGAAATTGGCCAAAGGGGCATCTCCATGTCTTTTTCCTATGAATTTGGTATTGCTTTTCCCCTTATAATTGAAGGAGTAGTTGGCACATTGGTTGAATGGAGGAAAAAGAAGCTCCAATATTACTACTGGTCGTCATTCCCCGAACAAGGGTTTACAACACTAGTAAGGAAGCCAAGGATAGAAAGATTTACGTGGAAAACTGGAGATTAATTGGAAAAAAAATATCTATATTAATAAAACCACACTAAACCAACTCTGAAACTGGCAAAATAAGTAGAGAAGGCCGTGTCAAGCATGTGTTAGATAGCATTAGGACTACAAATAAGGATGAAATATTTGTAAAATTATTATTTAATTACTAAAAGTGTTCTAAATTTCACATCTCGAGACAAATTTCCCAGATGTCCAATACTATCGGACTCAACATTCCCTTAATTACATATACTTTACCATATTCTAAATATATGTGATATATTAATCACAAGGAAGGAAGCAGAGGAATGGTTTGTGATGGGTTAAGCCCAAATAGTCCAATTGATGTGTTAAAGTCCAACTCCAGTTGAGGAGCCCAACCTCATTTTGAATCTACCAAGCCCAAGACAGTCTAAGACCGGTTAGACTTTTTGCTTAGCACGTCATCAAGAGATCATGATCTGAACCACCGAAGGAAACGGTCCAAGTTTTGACCACGTTTCATGAAGAACTCCCCAACCTCCTCCTTCCGTTGAGGATAGGTCATGATCTCCACCAGAATGATCTTTTAGTGCGATAAAGTAGCCTTGAGGATAAGTCATGATCTCCCCCAGAGTGATCTCTTAGCTGCGATAAAGTAGCCTTGAGGATAAGTCATGATCTCTACAAGAATGATCTCTTAGCTGCTATAAAGTAGCCCCAATCTGTGAGAAGCCAAAAAAAAGAGATGAAGGTTACGCCCCACAAACACTTACAGAGGACAGACCGACGACCGGAGACCACTCCTTCTTTGATTCTCCATTCTCTCAAAGTTTGTATCTCTATTCTCCATACCTCTGAATTAATAAAATATCCGGCACTAAAGTCATTGAAGAGTGGACGTAGGTCGAATTGACCGAACCATTATAAATCGTGTCTTCTTTAATTTTTTTATTGATTTCACTGCATTTATTATCTACACTTGACAGGTGGTGTGCAAAACTATTTTTGTGCATCATCAGTTTGTAAAGTGATAACAGAGTGAGGTAATCAAAAGCATTGTCCTTGGTGGGTGGTTTGTTTTGAATGGTGGGCATACTTTTGTGCATGGTATTGAAACTTGTTATTGCCATTGGTTTTGAAAGCGATCACCAGATTCCTTTAATGGGTTGCAACCTTCCCAGCTTTCCTCCATTCCCAAGTATTATATACAATCGTTACTCTTTTCCCTTTCATGAATGCCAAGGTTCAACGAATTAGAAAATTTTCTTTTGGAAAGTTGTAGTCTTGTAATTAAAATGACCGTCCACTGAATCCTCCAAATTGAACTAGAGAGAGAGAGAGGTTTAACTTTTTTTTAGAGAATTTGAACAAAAATCTATATAATAAATTAGATAGGTGTTTGAACTTGTGGGGGTATATTTTTTTCCTCAAATTTCACACACCCAACACACACTTTTCCTCCCCAAATTTCAAAAGAAAAATATTATTTGAACCTAATTTAGGGACCTAATTCAATACAACCATGAGACTGGTTGTGGGCTTCATTTAACATTAAAACTCACAATTAATCTAATAATTGCATACACACTTCAACACACATATTTCAATGCATGTACAATATTATAATTCAATTTACAGTAACTTTAGTCACGAAATATCGTTAGTAAATATATATGTAAGAGAGGACTTTACAAACGTATGGTGGTACGTGAAACTTAAAAGGAGGGCTCCAAACAAACAAAAGGATGTTGTTATAAAAGGGATGTTTGGATTTATATTTTTAATGTGTTTGGTGGTTCATACATATTTATGCATGGTTGCTTTGAGCGCATGCTTCAGCTTGCATTTGGAAGATTCATGTACCTTTTGTTTTTGTGGGGTGTTGGGGGGGGGGGGG